ATTTATACATAACTTCTCAGTTAAAAGCTGAACTTATCACTGACTTGGATAAGCTCCACCAGGTGGCGCTTCACTAACCTCCTGTTTTCTGTCCAGGGAAATATTGCATCCCTGGTGGCAATTTTAGCTTGGTTATTAGGTTCAAAAAGGCTTTGCAAAACAAGAGAATATATGACGTGATGTCTTGCCGTACCTTCATTTGCTCTGAAGTATCTTCAGAAACCTGAAACTTTTCATGCAGGTGCTTGAAATCCTTGAAAATGCTTACATTTCAATCAGATTTTCAAGGTTTGGAAAGTGCTTTATTTTTGTTTAAAGTCCTTGAAAGTTATTCATATTCACACTGCATAGTTTTGTAGTAAAGTGCAATATAACGTTTAATTAAAAGTCTAAATTTGAGAAACATTTAGTTTCATACACCAAATAAACAGACACAAATTTTTTTTAATCTCACTCTCTGAAGTTAAATCAGACTAAAGCTTCTTGTTTTAGGTTAGAATCACCAAAATTATTTCTATTTGTTAAATGTCAGAAAACTTTTTCGTAAATCTCTGTGTGTATGTTATCTTTTGAGCAGGAAGGCCACTTACCTTAACATGCTGAGTGTAATTAATATTTCTTATTTTTAATGGCTTAATGAGTAATTGATAATGTCACTGAAATAAAAGTTGGCTTATATTTTAAACATTAAACAGCATTATTAAAATTGGAGGATTGTATTTGTTAAATTAGTGTTTTCTAAGATTTTAGTTCTTAGACCAGTCGGATGTATAAAGTGTGAGAAAGACATTTCAAAACATAAAATTGTATTATATCTTACTTGTCTCTGCTGTAAAATGTAAAATACTCTTACAAGATGGTGTTAATAATGTTAATAAATTATATGTAATAGATAATTGAAATGGTCTTTTTGAAATTTCATTTGTACTGTTTTTATCTGGAAAGTGTGGTGCTGGAAAAATTTGAAAAGTGCTTGAATTTTCCTCTGGGGAAAGTGAATTTAAAGGAAATCCTGTGTTGGCAGATTTCCAGCCATGTCAAAGCCATTGATGCGATCTACCAGGGCACAGACTTCATGGGCATTCGTAACATCAGCTTCATGGTGAAACGGATCAGGGTGAGTTACACCAACAGACCCTGTGTGACTCTGAAGTTTCAGTTTTCGTCTCCCACTCTGAACCCGCTTGCCCCTCCCGTCTAGATAAACACGACCAACGACGAGAGAGACCGATCCAACCCGTTCCGCTTCGCCAACATCGGCGTGGAGAAGTTTCTGGAGCTGAACTCGGAGCAGAACCACGACGATTACTGCCTGGCTTACGTTTTCACAGACAGGGATTTTGATGATGGCGTGTTGGGACTGGCCTGGGTGGGAGCCCCCTCAGGTGCTGGAATATTCCTTAGCAGCTTTTGGATTTATTATTATTCTACACTGGCAAAAATTGTTTTTATTAAA